CAGGAAACCAAGCAAGGCCAATATACTGCTGAAATCACTCAAAACTAGCTGGCTGAGGTCTGTGCCAATGTGCACACATTTCCATACAGTCATTCTCTGATGCAGAAACTGAGATGTTTCAACTTCCTGCCCAATGCTCTTCTTCCTGATATACATTCCAACAGACAACTACATTTCTCAACATTTTTAGAGGTGCAAAATTTTTACAAGAACACAATCTTAAGAAACTGTTTCTCTGGTAGTTTTTAAAACATCTGTAATGTATATATACTACATAAGATATTTTAAGCTTAAAATGCTTTAAATTACTAACATTATTAAAATCATGACAAAGTTTACTGTAATAACTTTTTTGGAGGGGGTACCAGGGATCAACTCACTTATGAAACAGGCACAGTGCCACTGAGCTAAATCCCTGGCCCTGTAATAACTTTTTTATAGCACTTAAAATAAATGAAGATAGACTTGTTCCAGTCTTTAATTATTTAAAAAATTCAAAAGTGACAGTGTGTTTGGAGTCAAATAGTACAATCACACGTTGATATCCACAGGGAATTGGTTCCAAGGTCCCATGGATGCCAAAATCTGTGGCTGCTTGAATTCCTTATATAAAATAGCACAGTACCTACATATAACTTACACATATCTGCTCATAAACTTTAAATAACCTCTAAATTATTTATAAAACCTAATATAATGTCAATACTTTGTAAATAGCATCACACTGTATTTAGAGAATAGTCAGTAGGAAGACAAGTCTGTACATGTTCAGGATAGTCACAAAATTTTTTCAAAATATTTTCAATACAGAAGGACAAATGTATTTTTCAATGTAGATGAAAATGACTTACCTGGTACAGTATCAAAAATAGATAAAAACCATTTTCACAGCCTAATGCTCAGAATTCTTATACACTATACTTAAGGATGTCATCTGGTTTAATGTGTGTGTTTATTTAACTTGCATGTTTTATTTCTAAATGATAAAAGATTTCAAGGTTATATTTGCGGTTGCAAATAGCCTTGGGGAGATGGCTTTTATTCACAATATATGAAAAGGAAAATTGAATATAATAATCATCAAGTCTTCCTTTTTTACCATTACGCATTAAAATATTAGACACACCCAAATGTACTACAAGAGAATTTTTAAGAAAGGAGTACATCTTATCAACTGAGTGAAAAGCATCCTGAAGCTAATTTTCATTTTTATGATACTCATTAATCTGCTTTTCAGCATCAATGTCCCATATGTTTCCAGACTTTAACCAGTAACCCATTATGGGCATAAATTAAATATTACATGACTACAAATAAAAACTTTAAGCTATATAATAAATGTCTAATCACCGTGGCAGGTAGCAACATGTGTGATAAGCCAACTGTGTGATAAAGAAACTGAGGGGCCAAAGTCCATTTGTCTGAAATACACTAACAGTCACAAAACTCCTTAACCACTCCAAGAAAAGATTTAAATAACTGATTGTTAACAGAAATTAAAATATCTTCCATTTGAATTTTCAACAGCATGTGGTCTCCAAAAACAATTTCATTTAAGCCCCTTATTGAGAATAATACAAAATGCCAACCTAAACAGACCAGGCATCTTTCAAATATTCCCTAGAAGATAAATGCTTATATTTTCAGGTTTCACACATTTCCTAATAGGATACAGCAAAATAAAAGTTAATGGATGAAGTAGGTAATTATCCCATTTTTTTTAAGTAATTGTAAAAGAAGTACCACAAGAAAATTAACTAATGTACTATATTTTGTTACTGTAACAATATTTGAGGATAGATACATTACAAAAAAGAAATTTATTAGCTCACAGTTCTGGAAGTTAGGCATGTCACCAGCATCAACTGGGCTCTGGTGAAGACCTCTCTGCAGAAAGCATCACAACGATGGCAATGTGTTAAGAAAGGGATAGATCACATTGCAAAATGGGGAAGAGTCAGAGCTCAAAGAGGGGCCAGGTTGGCTCTTAACAACTCTCTCCCAAGAAGAACTACATCAATCCTTTCCCTACACCCTCCATGACCTAATCACTTCCCACTGGACCTCTTCTCTCAAAAAGTTTCCACACTGGGGACCAAGCTGCCAACACAAGAATCCTGGAAGGACATACTTAAACCACATCCAAACCAGAGCAAGTGTGATCCAATTTAGAAACCACATGTGAAATAATCTCTCCTTTGATAAACAAGAGTTAGTATTCTTCAGCACTGCCGTAGGCAAGAAACTGTTATAAAAATTCAGGCCAAAATTTTTGCAAGCTATTTGCACATAGTACAAAAACACTGGTAAGTGTTGAAAATGACTAGAAATATAACAAATTAGGGGTCTGAAAGAGCAGAGGTAGAGAATGCAGCAAAAAGATGCCTAGCAAATAGATTTGCAGAACAAACTTCAAAGAGAGAATCCAGGATTGACTGAAGGTGTGGCATGCAGCCTCTGCTCCGGGAAGGGCAAGAGGCTGTGAGCAGGGCCAGTCACAGAGCCTCCCAAGGACCCCCAAGCCTTCAGTGATGACCTATGAAGCACCCAGACAAAGCAAAGCCTCACATTTCTTGTACACTGTGGGACTGGGAAAGCTCAGCTGCTCTGCTGAGTGGTAAATATGGTTGGTGGAGGTATTTTCCCTTTACCTAAAGCTTTTTCTGTCAATACCATCCAAGTTACTCATTACAGTATTTCTTGAGCTACAACCAAGTCAGACAGGCCTACCTAACAGTTTAGTTTCCCACCTAAAGGGGTGTTAATAAAAGGTTTTTACATGGTTATCTCTTATTAACTAATGAAAGAATGAGTAGAATTAGGTTTTCAATAAGGACAGGAGCATCCATAATACATTTAAACTGTCCCACATGACAACTGCTAAAGAGGTTCAGACCTAAACATGAGAAGGAATAAAAGAAACCTTTTCAGGCTCACATGCTGCACAGAAGAACCAGGCTACTGTGTGCTCCCTGACATTCTACTTCAGGTCCTGTCTCTGCCCTCTCCACCAGTCATCATCGTGGGAGAGCTGAAACGCTTCATGACAGTCAATCATCCTCAGGAAAACAAACTGCCCAAAAGGAACCCAGTACAGAAGACAAAGGCTTTTTAACAACAACAAAAAAAAAAAAAAACAAAACCCCAATATAATCATGTGAGGAAGGTAGAAAAATGATTACAAAGCTGACTGCTAAAAAATACAAATTATAGGTCCTACAATTTAAATTAAACCAAATTTTAATTTTTACCCTCAAGAATCTCACAACATATGTACACCTTAATTCTTTTTTGCTAGTGAACCCTGATTCAATTAGCATACGTCTTTCAGTTTTATTATTCATCTAGCCAACTCTTACTAAGTGTCTTCTATGTGCCAGGTATGCAGGTTGCATAAATGTGTCCATACATAAAATACAGCACGGTCAAATGTAGTATCCGTTATGATTTCAACCTAAAATGGCAACCCCCAAATCTCATGTATTTAGAAAGTGAGTGGATTATGGGGGAGATACAACTGACCTCCTTTTAAGTGGGGTCTGGCTGGAATAGGCAAGTCACTGGGGCATGGTCTGGAAGAATTTATCTTCTTCCACAGCTCCCCTTCTCGTTCTTCTTCCTGTCTACTATGCCTTAATCAACTCTTCTCTGCCATGCCCCTCTGTCATTGCTGCCTTGCCTTGAAGCCAGCCAACTATGGACTGAAATGTGAGCGAAAATAAACCTCTCCTTTTAGTTGCAAGTACTGGGAATGTGTCTCAGCCACTACAGAAGTAACTAAGACACAATGTTAACCTGAGAATCAAGGATTCTATAAACTTGGATGGGGGGCATCTTCAATTCATTAACTCCTAAATGAAAGTGAGAATTTTTTTAGGTTATGAATGATGGCCCAAAACCAAATAGCAATGAACTACAGTGTCTATGATTTGCCACCAAAAGAAAGCAGACATTTATTAACATATTGTATCAACAGTTTCAGACATCTCCACATATTCATGCTTGTCCCTATTTTGGAAGTAACAGCAACTAATACAACCAATATCAGAATTTTTTATTTAATATGCTAATAAGTAAATATACACTCCAAGTATGTTTTTTTTAGTATTTTGAAAATGTCATTATATATGACATGTGGTGGAAATAAGCAGAGAATTTTTAAATTTAAAAATTTTATTACAGTAAAAAATATACTGCCATTAATCCACCTCAAAATAGTCTCCCTTTCTTCAAACATCTCATCATTCTTACCACTTTCTGAAGCAGTTCTGGAAGTCCTCTTTCTTTACTGTCTTTACAAGAGATGATCAAAACTCTAGTGAATACTGCTCCCAAGTGGCATTCAACAGAAAGACAGGCTCATAAAAGCATACATTGTGGGGTTTTTTTTTCACCTTATTCACCAGATCTGGCACTGTGTGACTTCTAGCTCTTCCCCAAATTCCAAAGAGGCATGAAAGTTAAATGCTTTCAATTGATTCAGAATATCAAGGCAGTGACAACCATGTAACTAAAGATACTCATGCTAGAGGACTTCCAGAACTGCTTCAGAAAGTGGCAAAAATGATGGGATAAGTGCGTTCAAAGCAAGAGGGAGTACTTTGAGGGGGATTAATGGCAATGTAACTATAGTGACTTTTAGTTTAAACATTCACTGTATTTTTTGATCACACCATATAACTGGTGTCCTTACTAATACTATGGAGTTTCTATACTGTATTTTAAAACACCACTCAGGGAATGAATCCAAAGGCTTCACCAGAATGTCAAAATAGACTGTGCCCCCCTCAAAAAAAAAAATAATAATAAGGTTAAGAACCTTTCATCTAGTAACAATTACAAGTTTGAAATAAAGACACACATTTTAAACCCAGTCATTGTTACTTGTGATACATAGTATGTCATTTACCCTATTAGAGCCTCAGTTTCCTCATCTGTATATGTTCCTAGGGGCAGTGAGGATGTGATAATTAAGGCAAACAGTATGAATTAAATGTTAAATGAAGCCAGATTATGGCACAGATGCTATAGTTAATGGTAAATGTGCAGTCAGTGTGGCTCTTTTTAAAAGATCTAATCAGTTTCACAGTCAAAGCAAAGGTAAAACCTTTTATCGTTTTATTAATCCTCCTCTCCTGGAAGACATGTGAAATGGCTTCACCATGTCTTCCAAGTAGTCTATGGTTCTGGGTTACCAGAATATTTACCATCCACCTGCTTCTGGAGTTCTCTGATACATCCTATGAGGAAAAGCATCACACGTGCGGAAAGCTCCTGACTGTGATCCAAGCCAATTGCTGGATGTGAAATTCAAGCTAAACCTGGACTTTCCTAATCTTCCTTACCTTACGGATGGCAAGAATAAAACCACCCAGAGCAATGCCACCTTGCACTACATCACTCACAAGCACAGCATGTGTGGTTAGACTGAGAAAGAAAAGATTCGGGTGGACATAATGGAAAATCAAATAATGGATTTCCACGTGCAGCTGGTGCAACTTTCTGACCATGAAAAACTGAAACCTCAGTACCTGGAACAGCTACCTGGACAATTAAAACAATTTTCCTTATTCCTGGGGAATAACTCATGGTTTGCAGAGGAAAAGCTCACCTTTGTGGGTCTTCTTACCTATGATGTCTTATACCAGAACCACATATTTGAACCCAAGTGCCAGGATGAGTTCCTAAATCTGAAGGATTTCGTGTGCCACTTGGAGGCTTTGGACAAAACAGCTTCCTACATGCAGTCTGATCGCCTGTCAATAACACAATGGCCTAGTGGGGCAGCAGTATATATGCTAAGCAAGAGACAGAACAGTACTGCTTTGTTTTTCCTGGCCTGTCCCTAGAAGGCCTGTACTCTCTTCTCCCCTATTTTCAATAAATAACACTTAAGTTAAAAAACGTCAAAATATATAATTGATATTGTGTAATAGGAAGAAAGGTCTAAAAAGTGGTGGAAGTGGGAGGAGAAGGGGAAAGGTAAGAGGGGGAAAGAAAAAATATGAGGAAAGGAAAAACATGAAAACAAAGTCTTTGTAAATAGGTAGGGTGGAGGGTATGAAGAGAGGGCAGAGGGAATGGGGAAAAATAAGAACCAAGATACATTATGTAAAGGTACAAGATCCCAATGATGAATGTAACTGTACTGTGTAACTAAATTGTACCAATAAACTAAAACATCTAAATAAAAAAATTTTAATTAAAAAAACACTTGATAGTTTTTTAATTCCAACCCTCAAAGAAAAAAAATCTTGCCCTCAGGTAATCTTAAAAAAATAATTCAAAAACAACTGAAATAACAATCAAAATATTAGTCAAGTTCAAAGAGTTACAGCTCGTTATTTCACAAAATCATTTAGTTTTTTTCACTTAAGAAATGTTAGCTCATCTGAGCTGAATCAACCAAAAAAGAACATAACAGACAATGAAAATGCAAGTGTGGTGTGTCCTTAAGCCCAAATCAGCCTCATTTTTTAATCTTTACCACAAAGCATAAAGTCAAATACAGTAGCTTTACTTTTAGCTCCAGTAGGTTACCCACTCAGAATCATTCAGTGGACAATCACTTCAAGACACAACAGCCATGAGCTATGGGGATAAATCTGGGGGTGGAAGGAGTAAGGGACATAATCTGTATCTGTCAGTACTCTGAAATTAGGCTGGGAAAATAACATTTACATGTAACTTTAATCCCAAAGCACCAACAGTTTTAATCCATCCCTGAGAATAAATTGAGTATGCTAAGGGGTAAATTAAAAAGTAATCAAGCCAAGCATGGTGGCACATGCCTGTGACCCCAGCACTCAAGAGGCTGAGGCAGGAGGATCACCAATAGTTTGAGGCCAGCCTAGGCTGCACAGTGAGCTAAAGGCCAGCCTGAAGTACAAAGTGAGACCCTGTATCAAAAAACAAAAACAAAAACAAACAAACAAAGGAATCAAGCTCCACAGGGATAATCAGCATAGGCCAAGACACTACTGATGAGGAATGAGAGGAAAGAGAGACTAATGGAGGAAAGAGAGGAGGGAAGACTAATAAAGGAAAGGCAATGAGACAGAAGGCAAACAAGAATCAAAGGCTAGCTTAGGTAGTAAGAGATTTCCCTTCTGAATTTGGTCAACAAAATAAGTAGTCATGAAGAGTTGGAAACTCACTACACCAAAGGGTAAGTGCAGGAAAATATCCCCCAAAATCATGATCCCCCAAAATCTCTTAGACAATAGCGTATTTAGAAAACAGCAAAGAAGCATATATACAAATTATTTCCCAAGTTGACCTCAAAATATACATAAATCCACAAACTAAGTGAGCACTTCAGGGTGTCTGAAAGCAAGAACCAGAGTGGGGATATACTGCAATTCTTGCCAAGAGTGGAAATTTTTAAAAATATGTATACAACCATCCTAAAGTTATACAGAATAAATGTATTAGTTTAAAGTGGTGGTGGTAAACCTATGGCATGCCTGTGATTGTGTTTTGAAGACAAAAGATGTTAGTGTATGAGTTGTTTTTCTGAACTAAAATCTCAGTATTCAGGTTTAAGTGGTACTTTGCAAAAATAGGTGAGTTCGGGGTTGTATTTGGGCAATCATCTCTAAAAGGTTCACTATCATGGTTTTAATGTTTTGGCTACTTGCCACCTTAGTAATACTTTTTCACTTTTGTAGCTCTGTATTTTAAAATTATTTCAAACTCACAGAAAAGTTACCAAAATATTACAAAAATCCACATGTACCTTTTACCGAGACTTCCAAACTAACATTTTACCAAGTAGCTTTGATCATTCTCTCTATGTGCAGCACATACACATGTATTTTCATTTGAATCACGTGGGAAAAAAGCTGCAGACATAATGCCTTTTACCTAAATATTGCAGGGTGATTTCCAAAACACAAGGTCTATAACTACAACTCAATGATTTCCAAAACACACGGTTATATAACTACAACTCCATGATCAAAACTGGGAAATTAACAGCAATATAACATTAATCTATAGATCTTATTCTATTTCATCAATTGTCTAACGTCTTGTAAAGAGTAAAAATTTTTTTATTCAAAACTAATCAGGATTATACACATTTAATTATCATATTTCTTTAAACATATGCTTTTTTTTTTTGAATACTGGGGATCGAACTCAGGTCATTGTGCTTGCAAGGCAAGCAGTGGAACCACTGAGTTAAATCCACAGCCCAACACATGATTTGTTTTTATTGCTAGTGCTGGGAACTGAACCCAGGGCCTCAAGTGTGCTAAGCAAAATGTCCTCAGCCTCCTTTTAATTTAATGAAGGCAAATTTAAATTTAATATATCCATAAAAAACAATTTATCTTACTTGTTTTTCAGTTTTTAAAAACACAACTGTATTTTTTTAATTAAGTGTAGAGAGGCTTACTTATACTTATTCACGTATATGAAGCATAGGACATGCTTTATCGCCCATTCCAATCCCACAAGACTATGCTGTAGTCTTGTGAGCTGCACTTATTCTCCCTTCTCATTCAATCACCAATACCTCCAAGATAACAAAGCATCACTCTTCTTTGTATCTCTTAGGATTTACAGATAACTACAAATGTTTGAAGGGCAAAGTACACCATATATTTGAAGTACAAAAGGTGGTTCAAAAGGATGAACAAATAAAACAAAACTATTCTTTTCAGGCTAAGCTTTCCAATAAGATTCTCCATGAGAGGACAGGGATTTGGCTCAGTGGTTCTGACGCCTGCCTCGCAAGCACAATCTGAGTTCGATCCCTGATACCATCAAAAAAAAAAGATTCTCCATGAGGTGCGGAGATTTAGCTCAATGGCACTCTGCCTGCTTTCCAAGAGCAAGGTCCTGAGTTCAATCCCTGATACCACAAAAAAAAAAAAAAGATTCTCCATGAAAGAGAGCAAAGAATTACACATTAAAACAAGTAGGTGATAACAGTGTCTGGACATAAAACACTATATTTAATTGTGGTGCTAAACATATAGAATAAAAAAAAACTCCATATTCCAACCCTGCATTACTAACTTCTGGACACACAGGGTCAAACTCCCTTTTATAGCTAGTATACTGCTGCCATAGGCCACTGATTCTAGTAAGATACATATGTATTCACATTTTAAAATCTCACACCAATGGCATCTTTCTGTCATTATGGGCTGGGTGGCAGTCATAACAGCTCATAATACTGTCTATGTAATAACAAAAATAATAGCATCAAAATATGCAGAATGAGTATCATCTGCTTGGGGGGGCACCCAAAAACCTGTTTTTAAGAAGCCAGCACTCTAACACCACAGAATATGAGTATGCAAAAATCACTGACAAGGACAACTCACAGAGAGTAACTCAGAAGATTTGAAAGTTTCAAGAATACTGTTAGCAATCCATTTCACTTCACTTTTCTTTATCTGTATTCGTCCAGTAAATATAAAATATACATTCTAATGGATACAAAAGCAGTTTATCACAGTTTGTCATTTCTTAGTGAAACAAAATAATGGTATAGGTCATAATTACTAGCATCTTAGACACAAAAGAACAGTTTTTCAAGCACAAAGAATACTGGCCAACATTCTTAGAGAGCTTCTTCAAAAACCCAAGCGAAGCCAGAAAGTCTAAAAGTATTAAAACCTGCCCACTTTAACTGCTCCAGACACTGAGACGGTCTTACAAGCCAGAAGAGCCCTGCGTCAATCACAGCCACTCCTCAAGGCTGCTTTTCACAAAGCAGGGTCTCTATCTCCACTAAGACATGCTCCAGACTCATAGCATAGCAGGGCAGGCACATAGCGTGGGGAGATGGCATGACACAAACACCCTTCAACCCAAAACACAGCTGGGATGTTAAATTTAGACCTACCAACCTTGACAGTTCCCTTTTAATTATAATTTTTTTCCCTAATTCTCTGGAGTTGTTTTTCCTTTTCCCCCTAAACCTGGAAGCTGCCAACTGCGTTTTTCTATTGGCCAAGTTATTCTAAGCATCATATCCAAATAAATTATTTTAAAGCAATGGATCTCTAAAAAACGCATAAAACTGTGAATGAATATTTAAAGATAAAGATGTATTTCAGACCAGGACAAATTTCAAAGACAGACAATTTTCAATTGATAAATGTTCAGATATATATTGGAATAAGCTGATAAATATATATCTATATAGATATATATAGATATATAGATGTATATCCTATGACTTATGTAATAAACATACATAACTCAAAAAAATCAAATCATTCAAAGAATTTTTCCCCCGGTACAAACATTAAGATACAAAGATGAATGAAATGGTTCTTATCTCAAAATCTCAAAATTAAAGGACTTTTTGGGCTAAAACAATCAATTTCACCATTTGACAGATTAAAAAACTAAGGCCCAGAGAAATTCAGAAATGTATTCAAGGTTAAAATAGCTAGTTGGTTATAAGGTGGGACAGAAGCACTTTCAATCAGCAATCCAGTGAGATACTAATTTAGTCCCTATTTATTAAAGTGTTCTAGGCACTAGGTTAACTTGAGATAGGTACCACTCAATTTTATAGAAAAGAAAACTTGTCATGATTCAGGACTGGCTGGTCCCAAGGCCAAAGTCCCCTCACAGCACCATCCTGCCTCTGCACTGGCCAATATACACACTGTAGCATCTCCCTGAAAAATGAGCTGACATGGTATAAAAGTAGTTCCATGTACACAAACTTAATAAATCCTCCCTGCTACATAAGGTTTAATGGGAGCAAAATGCAATAGTTAATACTCTTGAAGTAGACAAAAACAAAACCCACTACCTTCACATTTGGAGAAGTGAATGAACAAAAGCCAACAAAATTACATAATTATAACAATTAATT